TCCTCATTTTGTCATCTCCTTACAATACTTGCTGTAGTTTCTGCATTTTATCGTTCGTGGTTTAAACTTCAGCGAGTTCAACTTTCTAACAAAAGCCGTCATGTCATGATCACTGAGTGCTGACTTGACCACCTTGACTGAGGTAAGTACAGATAATGTCAATAAGAGTTTGGGATTCCCTTGTGACTCTTGTAGGCTCATTAACAACCTGTGACATGTTCATGCTTTGAAGAATGCTCTTGAGCTTCTTTGTTTCTCCCTGACACCTCGCACCAGCTGAAAATTACAATTTAAATCGCCCATCATAATCACTTCTTTCTTTTCGGCATTGGCAACTTCTAAAACATTCTCAAACGACGACATAAACTCCGCATCCAAGAAATCAGATCCATCTGGGGGACGATGAAACGTTCCCAAAAGAATCCCTTTTGAATGAAGGAGTGTAAGCAGCAATGGAGGAGTGTAAGTTAAAAAAACGACTTTTTGGACGAATAGATTGTTCGGCAAGGGCTTCAAAAGTAACACACTACTAACATTAGGACTGCATTTTTGAAGGTATGCTGTATCTGCTGTATCTGATGTATCAGAACGAGATCGAGTGTTATATTTTTGTAGTTGATTGCATGTGATTGCCGATCAACATCATGTGAAGTCCGGAAAATCGCGGTTCTCAAGGCTTATTTTTTCGAATTCATAATCTGCAAACATTTATTCTTTGGGAGGAGCATTTAACCACCACATGGAGCTTATGTAATGGAGAATTTGAACACAGGACAGACTGTTTTAAAAAGTTTAAATGTGCCGGGGTTTCGAGGGGTTGCCCAGGCCTGTTGAAGTATCGAGACCCTCAATCGATCGGCACATTACCTGGACTTAAGAAATAGGAAGAGTGTATTTTTATGTTATTATCAAACCGCCACCAATTTCTTTTACTCTGTAATTTACGTAGAGATTTTATATGAACGTATTGCTGAGTTTGAAGTCGCGTTGATCATCAGTCAGTGCCTGCGTGGATATGAATAAATACTGAGACTAATGAGACGAAGCGAAGTGACTCAGTCATCACGCAGTCGATTCTCTATTTTACAGTTATAGCCCTGAATGAAGGCAACATTTTGAAAAACGCACTATTTTAGCTTACGTGTATCATTTAAACAACAGAATGACTGTAAATGAGCCAAAATTATCATTTAAAATATCTGATTTATCTATCTAGAATCTATCGCGTGCGCCTTGTTGTTTGTGACCTAAATTTTAAGGTCAAATTGCGATTTTGTGGAAATTTAGTCGGCGCTCGCTGGAAAACTTTACAAGATCCCAGAAAAACAAAACAGTAACTTTTAACGACTGTATTTTAGGAATTTATGGTAGCAATATCAAGGATTTTAACGCACTACCACATGTTTTTCCATCGCGATGATTTAACCCTACTTTTTCATGTCCTTGAAGGGCTGAAAATGTTCCTTCAAATTTCGAGTTTATTTCTTACAGAAATAACCTGAGACGAAAACTATCCATACAGTTTTACAAAACAAGGCCCCTACTGAATAGTTATAGCAAAAGAAGACTGGCTGCTATGTTTTAGATCGAACACGATTATCCGTATATAGTGTGAAATAAATAAATTATTGGCGGCCGTAATTTGCGGTTTTCAAACCAACGATAGGAGCACGTCCGTCGAAGTCACTGTTACCGCTATTTCAGTGCAACAGAAGCATGGACGCGCTCAAGTCCGCGCTTCTATTTGTAAATGGGTGTCGAAATAAAGTGGATCTCCTTTTGTCAAGAATGTCTATGTTCGCGCCGCTAAAACACGGGGGCACCCAACGAGGTTTTTTTCCTAAATACATTAAAAACACATTTTAGGCTATCCAGGGTATCTTAAGATCTCTAGAAATGCATTCTTAGCCGCGTTATAAAATTTGTACTGTTCGGTCATCCTAGGGCAAATTGAGTAATTTCGAAATTACAAGGGCTTCAGCAGCATTATTTTCCCGAAAATTTTAGATGCAATTTATTAGCGTTTTACGAAAGTAAGAAATTTTCTGACTCCTCTCTCCAACGCATTTCGAGTCCGAAAATTTTAGGTTTCCTTTTTCTACGAAAATAGATTAATCTGGGGAGAAAAATGCAAAAAATTTAATTTCAGAAAATCGTAGGGAATTTATTAGATAAGCTTCGAAAATTGGACAAGAGTGGAACGATTATCAAGAATTTTGTAGCCTTCCTCAAGCTATAGAAAATTCTAGGCAATTTTTGCTTCTCCGAACAGATATTTTACAGAAAACAGTCGTTCGGTGCCCATAAAAACATGCTAACAGCTGTCGATGTAAGTTCATATCGATAATGCATTTTTATCGGGAAGTTTAGGACATTATAAGGTCTGCTCAGGTCTGCAAATATACTCCAAATAGCAGATATTGTCCGTCGAGTTGTCTTCTAACTGTTCTTGCGATGTTTAGACAATATTTCGCCGTAAAACGAGTGAAATGTTCCGCGAAAGTTCCGCCATTTTGGTCTTACTACCAAAGCAACTCAACCTCGTCCCTTCGTTTTCTCGGTCAACGGTTCAATAGTCTGCAAAAGACTGCATTTTTAACGTCATTTTGACGTCATCGGTTCAATATGGAAAATTATGCGTGTGGTTTTAACCAATAAGAAATGGGGAAATATTTTAAATGAATAATAATTTGAAATCAATGAATTCGGCTTTCGTAGGATATGAAAAATTAAGCAGATCTTGGACGGTGTTATCAACCTCGGCCTCCGGCCTCGGTGGATAACAATCTCCGAGATCTGCTTAATTCTTCATATCCTACGAAAGACGAATTCATTGATTGCTTTATTATTCATTCAAAATAATTCCTAGTTTAAAAACATAGCTGAAACATTCTTACCTGCATCGATGTCAAGTTCATCTTCGATAGTGTACGTTTAGGTTTGTCCAGCTCCGCAAATAGCAGATGTCGCCCTCCGAGTTGTCTTCTTGCTGTTTCTGCTATGTTTTTAGCTATTATTTCGCCTATTTGCAGCTGTAGTGAGGTATCCGCCATTTTTGTTTTCACAACCAAAACAACTCAACCTCGTCCCCAGGTCTTCTCGGTTTACGGTGCATTACCTGTAGCTGGCTACATTTTTGACGTCATTTCCTCGTTAAACCTAAAATTCTTTTGGTCAGTAGTAACAGGTTATGGTGAACTATGCATGTGCTTTTAGCCAATCAGAATTGTGGAAATATTTTAAATGAATAATAAAAAGAATTATGCAGATCTGGGACGGTGTTATCCACCGAGGCCGACACCCTCCTCGATCTGCATAATTCTTCTTAGTATATACTAAAACAGTGGATAGTGTTTTTCGCGCGCTCTGATTGGCTACTCAATCAGTGAATATCCTGCACTATTCACTGATTCACCTCCAGTTCCTCCGAGCAAGCAACGCCAAACTCGCTTAAGTTGCGAGCAAAATGCCTTCCCAGTTTGCTGCCGTAAACAAACAAAGAAATTTCACAACTAATCAAGCAAGCTGTTTCCGAAATACACGAAGAAGGTGACGAAGTTCGGATTGGAAGTTTTAACAGGTAAAGCTTTGTCTTTTTGGCACGAATTTATCGATAAAACCGGTGAAAAAGTTTTTGTTTACAAATGCAAATTAAGTTTAAGTCTTGCTTACTTAATTAGTTGAGTTGTTCATAAATAAGCTTAAAACTATATTTAATAATCTTTTTTTATAAAATGATTTTAAATACAAAAAGAATTCACAACTCCTTTTGAAGAAATTTCCCCGCAAGAGCTAAACAAATGCCTTCAAAAGTTTTAATTGTCGGCAAAAAAAAGCGACGGCCGCGGCCGCCCGGTCATTACGCGCCAAAATTGTAATCGTTGGCAACAGTATTTGAGTTAAAAATCGTCATTTTTGTGCTCAATTATCTCACTGTTTTAGTATATACTAAAACAATTATTCACCTCAGTGTCGGTGGCTAGTCATGGATATTTACCTCACTGCTTCGCAGTTCGGTAAATATCCAGGACTAGCCACCTCCACTTCGGTGAATAATTGCTATATATCCTACGAAAGCCGAATCATTAATTGCTGATTGACTGAGGCTATGAGTATAATATCTCTGAACAATTATGCAGATCAAGGAGCTGGGTGGCCGATGTGGAAATTAAAACAGCCTCGACTCCGAGAACAACATAATTTTTTTTATTTCAAACGAAAACAAAAATCAATGGCTGTTTTATTAGACATATTAAATTCTGCAAGCAGAATACTGCAATGCTGATCTTACTACGTGAAAATTAACTCTGCAAGACATCAACACGACACCGAAAGAACTCAAAACAGAGCGGGATTGTAGCCATAGACAGCTGTTTGAATTGGCTCTCTTTGGGGCTCGTTTTATATTCATTTAAAATATTTCTAGCTAGGTTTTTAACATCATTACCTCCTCGTAGCGTTTCTCCAAAACATTTTCCTGTTAATCGGCACAGTTTCAGAATCATCATGCTCATGCTGACACTTGAACAGGTGTTGGTTCCTTGCAGATACTCCTCAAAATAAAGAACACATCCACCAAGCATACATACATTTTTAATATTCTTGCATTTGTTCCCTTCACTTTCTGTAATTTGGCTATTTAATCCCGCTTGCGTTAGCTGCGAGACTCTAAAAATGCAACCATTTCTTTTCTTTTTTTGTGTGTGCGCACCAAAAGGAAAGTCATGGTCCTAGCCGGTCCTAGCGGAGACTGTCGAAACTGGAGATGGGATTGGCGGCATGGCGAAAGCCATAGTACATAGAAAGCTCGTTCAGGAAATATTAATGCGGCAGGACTTCTCCCAGGGTGGCAGGTGACGGATGTCGGGTGATGGGTCACAGGTGGTGGGCGACGGGTGGCGGGGATATTAATAATGAAAATTATGATAATCAATAAAAGTTAATAATAATATCCTTATTAATAATGAACACAAATCACTGTAACTTTTCTTTTTGTTAAATTACAGCTGCAAGATCTGGCTGTAAGTCCGGATATTCGAGATCCATCTTTGAACTCAGCTCAATGTGTTATACAGGGTCATTACGCTACATTCAGTGACACCAAAGGACATAGTGTTAAAATGTTATGGGTGTGTAATCTTTTTTTAATGGGCGCTGGCCTTATTGTCAGTTCGGCGATAATCGACATGAACAAATTTTACAGATTAAATGGTAGGAAGATGAAAAACACAGCGAGTGCCATGTGTTTCTCGACTCACTTCTTGTCAGTACTAGGAAGTGTATATATTTTTTTTGCTGTTACATGTTCTCTTTTCTCTTTTTCAACATTTTTTTCTGTATATTTTATTTTAGTAGTTTTTTGGAACTTGGTAACAAGTGCGTTGTATGTGCCAACTCGTTACTCAATTTTCTATCATAAGTGGAAAGGAACCGGATTTGTTTTAACAACCCTTTATGTATTTGGAGGAAACTCGATATGCTGTTTAAGTTGCTGGCTTGTAATTGGGATAAGAATCAATCCGTCATGGGGTTTAACTATTGCTCTCTTTATCATCTCTATTTTCGCTTCATTTACTTACGCAGTGTATCTTTGCCTGGAGGTAATTTATCCAAACGGTTATAACATGAGAGAGCGAGAAAATACACTTCAAGACTTTTTATTGGGAACTTATACATTGCCTGAGGATTCTTATCGTAATCCTCTCTCGTGTTCTGCCTCGAGTGACGACAACAGTCAAAACAATAATGATGACCCAAACCGAGTTATTGCGCTTTTTAAGTCCTTTGTTTTATTGGAATGCGACAGAGGCATCATGGCTATATTTGTTTGTATGCTTGGATGTATAGCTGTGGTGTCCTTTTTTCTCATAGTAATTCTAGCAGGGCCGTCAATAGCTGGACAGACTAGTGCTGCAGACGAACTCCTTAAAACCTCCTCTTTGTATTTTATTACTGCATTTATAACTTGGGCTACTTTGAAGAAGCACGCTTCTATCGATGCTCCCCTCCAAAATGAAAGACCCCAAAATGCTGAAGAACAGGACACTGACCACCACACTGGAGACCACCCCGGTGGCGAGTTGGGCACCCAATACCCGCTCATCATGTGGGAAACAAGCGTGTAGAAATACAAGTTCTTTGTTAGAAAAAGCACGCAAATTCTGGCCAATGATTACGATTAACGTTCGACTCCTTTGAACATGAAGTATATTTTAGAGTAATAAATATGCTGATTTGATTGATTGATTGATATAATGATATTGATTGATATAATAATGCACACTCCCACTAGATCCGCCTCTGAGCGTACAGTTTTATACATATTGATTAATGGAAAAATGTGTTTGCAGAATGAATCCATAGATTTGTTCACATTAAAAACAACCGATCTTAATTATTTGTAGACAAGTAGGTTATGCTAGCTTCATTCAAGAATACAATATAGTCATAGTTATCTATATCTTTAAATATTTTTTCTTTTGTTTAGTTACGATTTGCACCGAGTTACTCGTAACGTTAGACGGCATATTGTAACTCATTTCTAATGAACTTTGTAATTACCTTTAGTTTAAAGAATCGCAGTTATTAGTTTGCTCATTACTGAGTCTTGAGAATTAAAGAAGTGTCCATTAAAGATAAAATGTCCTAAAGAAACCCAGTCTCGTTATTGCGCATGTACCAAATTTTCTTGCAGGATTTTGCGAATTCAAAATATGCGAGTAATGTCCGGTTAAAGAACCTTTACGTTGTGCACGGTTAAGTTCGATACTACATTGATACCTCTCAAAATTACAGATCAATGATATATTGTTTCCGTTAGGTTTCGATTTGTATGAAAACGGAAGTATTTGGCGTTGCTTTCTTTGCCGTTGGCCGGAGAACCGAGGAAGGAAAGCGCTTTGATGGCAATTGAAGGCCTATTTCTCCCTCCACAGGGGCGGATCCAGGATCTTTTTTAGGAGGGGGTGCACTCGTCTCTTGCTCTACTTCAACACCAATAAACCACATAGTTTTTTTTTTTGCAGAATACCAGCTGTATTAGAAAACCGCAGGTCATCTCTGGGGGGAAGGGGGGCTGCGCACCCCCTACACCCTCCCCCTAGCTTCGCCCCTGCTCCAGCTTTCATACAAGCTTATTAATAGATACTAATCGTGGAGGAATAAGCAAAAATGGAATTACGTATATAATGCTGAAAAAAAAATCTTACACTGTTAAATGTCACGGAAAAAATTTCTAATTCCAGGGATTTGGAAAAAAAATTCTTGCTCGCAGGCTAATCCAAACTTAATCACCCATACCCCCCTCCCCCACAAAATTCACACACGCTCATCATGTGCTGGTTTTCAAGACTAAAGTAGCCTGCGAAAACATACGTTTCTCCTCGCTCTTCGCCGCTGGGGACACCGCGCGAAACGTCCACAGCGGCGAAGAGCGAGGAGAAACGGATGTTTTCGCAGGCTAAGACTAAAGTTTTGTATTTCAAGATTGAAAATACGCCGAAAAAGATACAAATGGAAAGAGAGAGTTCAAAAAAATGCTCAATTTTCTTTTTGTGGACAAACGAGAACTTTTCGTTATGAAATTGTCTTTCGAGGAACTGTGCCACTATCAGCAGGTTTTGATTTTAAATTTGCCTTCGGAATTGAAAAGTTACCGAGCCTTTCGAGAAACAGACCCTGCTGGAAAGCTGTTCTATGATTAATTTGTCAGGTATGCATTCAAAATCAAAGTATCAATAATTTTGAAAATGATAAAATGCAAAATTGACTGGTTTGCGAGCAAGGAACGGCCCTGTAAAGTTTTCGGGCCTTTCGCGAAACGCGTGGGCGGTGAGGACGAATTGAGAAGAAGCTGTGCGAGCGACTGGGCACGAGTCTAGATCTGAAGCCGGAAGTAGGTAAGAAAAGACGCAAAGTTCCGTGAACTCGATTTCATGATCGAATGCGAGAGCTTCGTACCGCCAACAGAGAAGCTTTAAGTCGTTTTTTAAACCTTTAACGTTTCCTTGAGGGCTAGCTTACCGTTGAACCTAAGGTTCCGACTATCTACACTACTTGGAACTCTGTAAAGGAACTTGTTGACATCACGTTAAGGTATCGTTACGAACTCAGTGCTGCATTTATAACTTAAGCTTAAATACTGTTTACAAGACTTCCAATTTTAGCTCGAGGGCCGTTAAAAACTATTTAAGGTAAGATTGAGGAGTATTACTTAGGGAGAAGCGCCTTCTTAGAACTTCGAGTAGTAAAATTCTTAGCGCTTTTTTTCTTTAAAGTTACGCTGTAGCAAAATACCCGACGTTTTGTAACTGCTCAGCTGCGACAAGCCAGTTTGTTTTCCTGATCGCTTGGTTATTCTAAATAAATGAGAATACCTTCAAACGATTAGAAAAAGAGATTTGGCAGAAATAATCTGGAAAATTTTCTGACTTCCGGACATTTTTTTTTAAGTCCTGTCGGCTGTCGAGCATATCATGACCACAGCGTACAATTACATGTAAATAAAGATGACTGGGAAACATTTTGGTTAACCGTTTTGACAAAGAAAATTGTCAAAAGGTCCGGTATCTGTTAAGCATACACTTATTTGTAAAATTTGTACAATTATCTGTTAAAACAGTTTCAGAACAAAGAATGAACTATTCTCAAATAATTTGTATAATACAATACATCAATCCAGGAGAACAAAGCGCACCGAAGAGAAATCTAAATTATTACCGGCTAGTTTCTTCTTTACTTGCGCCAGCCAAGACAGGCCACGAACGTTGGATATAAAAGACAGAAAAGAAAGCAATTTAGTCAAGGGAAAGCTAAATTCAATTTCCCCGAAACAGACGAAAAGAAATTATGAAAGTACGTTATAATTAAATAAGTACTTAGCCCGTGTGAACGTTTGATATCAAATGGAAACCAAGTCGGCAGACGGGTTGTCCTCGAGCTGCGAAGGATATTCCGTCAGAGAATAATAATCTTCTGTTGTTTTTGACGCGGAAACGTGGTGAAGCGGTCTGGCGTTAACATTACCATCTTTCTTCACGGCTGACCTTTTCTGTCGCCACTTCAGCTTGTGCGTATTCGATGTCAAATTGTTCCTTTGTAAATATCGTTTGAACACTCTGATTTTTTTCTTAGATTACACGGCCACATAGACCAAAAGTAGTTTCTATTTTAAAGCGACATCCTTGGAGACCCAGGGGCAGTTAGTCGGGACGATAGAATGTTTGTGGTGACAGTTTACTTTAAAGCACCCCTGATAAAATCGAGATCTTTTAGTAAACTTCATTACGAACTTTCTATCGTTCCGACTGGCTGCCCCTGGGTCTTCGAGTATGGTAAAGCGAGCGAAACGCAAGCGCGCATGAAATCACTCGCCTTTCTCGCGTGGGGTGATTTTCACGGGCGCTCGCGTTTTGCTCACTCTCTCTGAGGAAAAATGGGGACTACTCGTAGTCTAACAGCCACTTACGATGTAGTCCCATTGAAGTGATGTCCAAGATCTGATCTTTGATTATGGCATTTAGTGGTGTGATAAGACCCATCACTGCCTTGAACTGCATGTACAAACGGTCTCTTATTTTCATTGATTAACAGTTTTCTCACTTAACGCAAACACCTATCCCCTCGGGAGTAAGTCAAATTCCTATGTGACACGAATTTTTTTTTTGTCTCCAGGGCCTGTTTACATGGAGGTGGGGAACCCCAGGTAGATGTGTTAACCCGCTTATGTGGGGTAACCCGCCTGTCCATATAATCTGCCATTTTAATTTGATCACGTTTACATGATAGGTGTGGTGACCAGTCAAGGCGGGTAGCCCGGTCTGCCAGACCGGGTAACCCTCTCAGCCAGAGTTACATTTTGTCATGTAAACGTTTCAAGATGGGGTAACCCGCTAAGCTGGGGTGGGATTCGTGATACATCAAATTCGGGCAAAATTCACTTTGGCGCTGGCTTTGCATCATTATTAAAGGTAACAATAGGAAGCCACAGCACTGAAGGTTGCAGCAAGAGCACAAGCAAGTGAATGTAGAAGAGCATTAATCACCAAAACACGTGGTTTGCCTGCATTTTTCCCGTTTACGTGCTTAGCGACCTTTCAATAATCTTGAGAAAGTGCACCTTGGGATACCGGGGCTGTAAGATTGCATGTAAAGGAGGGTTATTTTTTTTTACGCCACCTAAGCGGGTTACTTCACCTATCTGGCGTCCCCCACTTCCATATAACAGGCCCTAACTTAAATTCTCTACTTAAAACTGAAGTACTAATAAAAAAATATCGTGTCTGTTCAATTACAACTTGTCTCTTTCGCTCAGAAATAAAGCAGTAGTACACAATGAAATACTGGTTTTACATAGTATGGAATTGTTGGTTTTCACATGACGTCACTAGAATTCAAACTACAAAACTATCGATCCTACTGAGATTTTACTTTCATGGTGTATTAGAGCAGCTGAAAACTAATTTTCAAGCAAATTTTCCCTTCAAAAGGGTTCTTGGTTTTGTAATGGAGTACGCTTGAAAGCTTTTGCGTGATGCAGCATTTACATGACGGCCGAGAGAGCTGTAGCCTGCAGTGCAGGCGTATTTTGGGTGGGCGAAACCTTGTTCGTGTTCGTAATATTGTTGTAGTTGCCATCTTTGATTTTATGACTGTGCATGGAAGATTGGGGAGAGCAGAAATAGTAACCCTTACGGTAGGTGCGAGGGGGAAAGAAGGAAAGGGGGGAGGGGGAAGGGAGAAAAAAGATACGGCGTTTTTTATTCTCTCTCCCCGCCCCCTCCCCGTTCCCTTTGACTCGCCCATTTCCTCACCTCTTCGGGAAGTTTCAACATGGTGCTTTCGCGAGCAAATTGCGCGCTCAAAGAAAACGCCTGCACTACAGGCTCAGAGAGCTGTCATTTAGGTTACAAAAGTGACTTTTTTTGAGGAATTTTGCTATCTTAACAGTTCAAGTATTAGAAAAAGTATTACTTTAATGTTTATGAATTCCTCTAGGAGTAAATTCACGCTTTCGTAGCAAAACTCGGTAACAGATGTCTGTGTTGGTTTCCGTTCGCCATGTTAGAGCTCATCCGGATGAGCTCCAGCATGGCGTCTCCATACGCTGCTCTATAAATTTGGGTTAAACATTTCCTCGGATATCTCGTATACGAATTATTCCTTCGACCCAAATCTTGGCGAGGGTCTTTGTATATTTACCTCCTTTCATTTCCCAGATTCTGGACTTTACCTGTCAAATATTTTTGATTTTTATTTTGATCTACTTTGAATGGCGTGACTGACTGAAAACCAGCAATACGCACAACGATTTATTGTTTAAAAATATGTAATAATATTTTTATTGCACGTACTCAATAAAAACGAAAATATTATCAATGCTAGATATTGGGTACTTTCTGAAAATCGCAAAAATTATTTCCCGGCAAGAAAAACCAATGTGTACTGTCCTAATGGCAAAAATTAGTTCCCGCAAAAACACAAAAAATTGCTAATCCGCAAAATAAACTCCCGCAAAAATTTCGTGCCACACGGTATTTTAATAGTAGTGAACTAATGCTTAAAGCAATGTTGTTTCTTTTTTTGTTGTTGTTTATTCAGCTTTTTCAAGAAGTTTTCAGTGAACTGAAGAGACACATTACAAGCATGTACAAAGTGCAAAATTTTGGGCTCATTTTTTGTTTTGGCCTGCGCATTGTGCTGTCTTTTGCTGAAGAAGATGACCAGGCTGATGTTTTCAAGCACTGCATGAATTCCACCAATTCAACGTCTTGCAGTTTTACCTATGAACATGTCTACAACAGTTTAACAAAGAATGAGAGCAATTTTAACATATCCCATGCCTTGTATCCTAATGGGGCAAAGCCATCATTTCTTGTAAGAGTAAATGTTTATGGGCCCAATCGAACATCCAACTCTATACCAGCAAAATTTACCTGGAGTATACACTGTCTGTATGCCAATGTCCCTGCCTGGCCGCTTCAACTTTTGTCTCTTTTTTCCATTACTGTAACATCTCGAACTCAGGACCTCAACATAAAAGTCCCTGAATTTTGTTGCAATATGTCAGATGACAAAAAGAAAAGGGAAGAAATGATACAAGGCTTTCTTACAAGAGCCTTATTTGAAGTAAGTGTAAATAACTTATTAATATTTTGTGAGAATTAGTATAGGTAATAGCATGATTTGTGGTGATATTTGGCATAAATACCACGAGTGATATTTCGAAATTGGCCGAATTTATAATAGAGACGAATTATCCGTCTCAGACGGATAATTTGTCCCTAGTATAAATTCGGTGCTAAGACGAATTATGGAGCAAAATTCGTCTAAGGCTGATTCGTCTGTTAGCACGTCTTGAGGACGTGCTAACAAACGCGCTAACTGTTAGCACGTCTTGAAGACGTGCTAACAGACAGATAATTCGTCTTAGACGGATTATCCGTCTCTAAATTTACATCTAGACGGAACTTCTCTAGAAGTTTCCACATGAGAGGGACTGGTTTCTATATTTTCGCAACTCGGCTCCTCAACACCTAAACACCCGTCGTGTAATCTAGACGAATTGTGGAGCAAAATTCGTCTTCGGATTTAAACTTAGACGAATTAACCGTCTGAAGGATAATCCGTCTAGACGGATAACTCGTCTCTAATATAAATTCAGCCATTGTTATACGTAATTTCATGAGCCGTTAGGCGAGTGAAATTTGAGACAATTTTGAAATATCACGAGTGGTATTTATGCAAAATATCATGTACAAATCATGCTATTATTTGTTTATACTACTACCCGCAAAAGGTTTGTAATTTTCACATGTAGGTATTTCAAATTAAGCTGAAATACCACTGCTCTAAGCCAATGAAATTGCAGAAATTTTTCATGTAGTAGTATAAAAGCATGAAAAAAGTCTAGCTCTTACAGGCTTCACTAGAAATGAAACATCATCGTTGTGCCAGGCAGTAGCTTGTTGAAAAAAGTCACAAGCTGACAGTACATTGGGGCTTTTTCTGCTCCTTTATTAACGATTTCGCTGACTTAGCTCACTGTCCTTGCCTTTTCGAACTTTTGCTGACGACAAAAAACTCTTTGGCCTTGCTCCTGACTTGAAAGCTTGTGAAATATATAAACTCTGAATTTTTGAATGCTTTTGTCGTGTTATTACGATCAAACTAGGCACCTTTGTAGATTCCAAAATCATCAAGTTTAAATATTTAAATCTACTGTGATATTGTTTCCTAACTTATTTCGTTCATTCTCAAATCAACACCTCTCCCCCGAAAAAAACAACCAGAATGCCCCTTAAACTGCAGCTCAGAGATATCACACCTCCGAATTTGCTCGCATTTCTCACGGTATAACAGTTTCAGTTTTATATGCCAGTACTGATACATGCAACACAAGATATGTATACAAGCAAAGCTTCTTCAGGATACGGTCCTTGAACCACGCAAAACAGATTTTCTCGAATCAGGCTATAGGTCTCTGGCATGAGAAAGGCGTCAATACTACGTACCAAAGAAATAAAACGTTATTTGCTGTCAAAAGAATTATTCGAAGAAATCCGAATGGGAATTTTATTTGTTGGCTTTACACTAGAAGCTTAGTTAGTTTCAAGTAAGCACTTGTTGATTCAAATGCACCTGTACTTCACAGTTGTTGTTGAAGTGTTTTACCTGAAGAACAAGCTGTCAACCATCTTTCTCCGCGGTAACATCATTCATGCATATTATTCGAAGGGGGGGCTTATTTGAAGGGGGCGCTTATTTCGTTTATCAATTTTTGGCCTCAGAATGACACTATCTTTATTTCTAGTTAACCCAAACTGTAAGACATAAAAATTCAAAAAACGTTATAGAAAATTACTTTTCGTGAAACTTGAAACATCCTCAAAACGAAGCACCTGTGAAAGTGAAAAACCTATGTGCTCACATGGCTATTTCTATCGAGGAAATGAGAAGCAAACCCGTAGGACTTTGACTAAACATTAATCATGTACTATTTCGAATGTCACATTCCTTAAAAGTACCGTATTCGTCTCACATATCGCACCGAGAACTGAACCTCGTTTTTTCTCGGGAGAGGCGGGGGGGAGGGGGGAACGGTGCTTATTTGAAGGGGGGCGCATATTCCAAATTTTAAGCCCTAGGGGCGGACGCTATGCTACAAAGGGAGAGAAACCACTGCGGGCAACCGTCTGCTTCTTTTATTAAACCACCGTCCAGCGCCATGGACGAATAAATTAACCTTTAACATGTAAAACTTGTTTAAAAACAAGTAAAGACTTTTGCGCATTAGCTTTGACTTAAAACTCTTGTCTTAACCGAATCTGCTGTAAATTTGCGCTCTTTAAATTCAGTATTTATTGGGATTGTTCATTACTTCCTACTTTGTCAAATGTAAGGGAACCCAACTGGAGTTGAATTCCAAAGGGACCATACCCAAGTTCAGAAGTGAAGAGAAATGATAATTCGTCGTTGCGTCTTTGCGGTTGCACAAAACATGAAATTAGGCATTTTCTTGCAAAAACGGCAAAAAAATGCACAAAAATTCGTGATGCACGTGCAAAATAGTTAATTGTTTTCCTTATTAAAGCTATTGTTTCGTTGACGTTCTCATTGCCGTCTTGCTGTTGGTTTTTTCCAGTAAAACGAGAGGAAGTAATGCCATTTGACGTTTTGACGTAGGTATCACATGGACGCGCATGCTCGATGGAAAAGGAAACGGTTTCTCTCCCCTGGTAGCACACTCATACCCAGCGTCTTCGTTCGCCTTGACCAGCGGTTGCTCGTCTCGTCGAGCCAGCATGCGCAGTAAGGGACGAAGACTCGAGGTACGAGATTGCCTTCGTAGCGTAGCGTCCTGTCTAGAGAAACTGCTGCTCGCAAGGTACTTGCTAAGCAATTTCCCTTTGTTATACGTAACCAGAATTTTTGCAGAGGTACCCTCGAGTAACTCAGTAACTTACTTTATTCTTCTCTGCTTCTTGTAATAATTCTCAGTTTGAATTAGTAAAGATCAGCCGGATATCGGGCTACAGGGAATATCTCCACTCTCTTTTTTAAAATAATGCATTTTTCTTCATTGACAAGCTTTAAACTGACAAACGTTATTTCTCTGCTTGTTCTTCAGCTACAAGACCTGGCTATGCTTCCAGCTATTCGAGATCCATCGCTAAACACAGCTGAGTGTGTGATAAAGGGTCATGATCCAAATTTTGAAGCCAGAGGACGAAGTCCTTACATCAGAGCAGTGTTATGGTTGTCTTTGATTTTTGTAATTGTTAGTGGCCCTTCGTTAGCTAAGTATGTAAGGGACTTAGAAGAACTGAGTAACAATAACAATTACAAGAAGAAAAACACAGTAAAAGCTGTGTGTTTTTCTTTTTATCTACTGTCAATACCGGGCAGTTTGCTTATCATCGTTGCCTTGGTACTCTCAATTGTTTACCGGGGTACTGATATTATTGCAATTTTAGCACTGATAATTGTGGTTAGTTTAGGAGAGTTCACTTACATCTTGCATAAAATGTGTGATAACAAAGTGGAAGGCGGTTTGTGCTTTTTAAAAATATTTGGAGGACACGCGGTAAGCTATATACTCTGCTGGATTGTAACTGGAATACGAATTAATCCCACGTGGGGTTTAACTATTGCTCTTCTTGTTATCTCTGTTTTTGCTGCTGTCACTTACGCAAAGTATCTTTACCTCGAGGCATTCCCCGAGGGTTCTAACGGTGCTACTAACCATCGCAGACAAGTCAAAGCCTTTTTAATGGCTTGTTGCCTTGCTGTCCTGATCCTTTTTCTCATAGTTATTTTTGCAGGACACTCAAGTAGTGAGAAGGAAATGGCTGTAGATGAAGTGCTTAAAACCACCTCGTTGTACTTCATCACTGCATTTATCGCGTGGGCTACTACTTGGAACAAGCATGATTCGGCTGATGCTTCTACAAACACTTGTCCCCCTTCCAATAGAAATGTTGTCCCAAATGCTGAACAACAGGACCAGAATTCTCGTTTAGTTGTCGGTCCCTCGTCCTCAAGTAGTAGTATACAACAGCGTCCGGAGGAGAGAAATCAGAGACTTTAAACAACGACTACGGAAGGGTCTAGTACGGTACCGGTGACGGGAAGTATTTTTTTCCCGCCACGCGTCAATGCCTCAAGTTCAAGGTACCACGACGGCGACAGCGGTCAAAACGTCGCTTTTTAGTAAAAAGTCAACTCGCATTCTTTCAAACTTTTTCGCGATTATTACAAGTCACTTATTTTGTCAAATGCAGGCAAACTCATTGAGGAAAAAAGATCGTCTTGGTTTGTTTACGTCCTCAATAAAAAGTGAAATTAAGCATTTTCACGTCGTGGTGGTGAAGTGATGGCAAAGAAATGTTGATAAAATAATGAGATGCACGTGCAAAACTGCTGATTTGCTAAAGATAGACTTATTGATTGGCCGTAATATGCTTCCCGAATCCGTAGAACATCATGGCTGGCCGTAGTGTCTAGTGCGTTAAGTATTTAGTTGTATTTTACGTGCTTAGAACGCCAGTGTATATTTGAAACAGAATTGCAAGATGTACGCATTTCATCCTTTTTGTTTATCCTTGGAGAGTTTTGAAGGCTCACTTTTCGATAATTATGATAATTATTATAGAATACTAAGAGAGAGTAAGGGAAAGAGTGTTTCAGTAAAACAGTTCTATTGAACAGGGGATAACTCAAATCATCTCCGTATCCCAGTATTGTTCTGAGGGAATTGCAAAGAATTTGGGTAGCCTGTGACCGCGACTTGTCTGTGACACTCTAGCTTTCACACAGTTAAAGCGCAATAGAGGATTTAGTCTGTCTCTATTTTCAAAAAGCTTAAGGTGTCGTATATAGTTGACTGTTACTCAGTGAAATACTTTTAGCTGTTTCCAAAATAAAAGGGAACGCAAAGACAACAGGTTTCCTAAGATATATTGCAAAAGTTTTGTGGTGATAAAGGTTTATGAGAAGTGAATATTTAAGTAGGTTGCATTTCAACTTCATTCATCTCAGGCAATTTTAAACTATTTGAAGTGATTATGTATGAGTAGTTTTTAAACTTTTCTCAATGTTTTTATTTACAAACTAGCAATGCTTAAACATAATATTGCATTGATGGTACTTTTTAACTCAGGGGAAAAAATAGAATGTGACATTTAACTATCAATAATTAACTTTTCAAGAAAAAGGCTCTGTTACACCATCTAAAACGGGTAAACTGTTATGTATCAAATATAATTACACATAATTATATAAGTAAGGTAGATCCTAGTCTTGTGTAAAACAGTTCTTGTTGCAAGTAAATAAAGCCTTGCGGCAAATGGTAGGGAAATTATCGCCCTTTGACTGTGTTTTGGTTGATAACAAATAACGGTTCAAGTTCACTGTGCTAGGCTGAGGCGTGGGCTTTTTTGGAAGACTTTTTTGTGAGTGAATCATTATTCATGCAACCTATCCAGATTTTTACTATCAGACTTTAAACAATGATGCCATATGGAGGAACAGTAATGAAAATGAGTCATTATGAACGAATTATGAAGGTAGAGTTTGGTCCGAAAGGATAATATATTCTTTAGTCTACAAAGAACACCTAGTTGCTTTCCAACTTTCTTGCTAATTTTCGTAACGTTTTTCTCAAAATTCAGGAAGTCGTCCAATGTTAGCCCAAACAGACCTACTGTATCAACTGAGTGGTAAGGCAACATCTTCAGAAAATAGTGAGAGAACCAGCGCTATGCATTTTTCAGCGTTCAAGATCATCTTGTTATTACGAAACCACTCACAGACCACCACAAGTTCCTTATTGAGAACATGTTCGACAACAGTTGGATCAGTATCAGCAAAATACAGCTAATTTTCATCAGCATAGTTAGACAGCTTCGCCTCTTTGATGAAATAAAACAAGTCATTTATGAAGATATTAAACAACAAGGATCCTAAAACGGAGCCTTGAGGAACGCAGCTGTTAACATATGAGGTATCACTTGTAACTAACGTCCTCCACTCGAACCAGTTGCCTGCGATTTGTTAAATAGCTCTTCAGTAAGTTTAAACTATGGGTAGAAATACCATAAGCAGAAAGCTTCGCAAGTAATAAGTCGTGTGGTATCAAATCAAAAGATTTACTTAAGTCCATTATCACAGTCCCAACCACAGAATTCTTGTCAAGAGCTCCTTTCCAGTCCTCGATAAGATGCAACATCACAGACTCGCAACTGTAACCTTTTCTATATGCTGACAAGAGCTTAGACAAATACGGGTTGAAATAGTGAACAAACTGTTTTTGGACACATCTCTTGAAAACCTTGTCCTACGATACTAGGATGGATACAGGCCTGTATTTGGACCGTCAAACTCATCATCTCTCTTGAAGATAGGACAGATCTCCTCTAGTTTCCATTCAGCAGGGACACAAGCATTATCAATAACAGTGTTAATCAGTCGCGCGATAGGACCAGCCAAAACTAAGGCTCCATCCCGTAAGACACGAGCAGGAATCTGATCATGACCAGTAGCTTTATTCGGATCTAAGGACTAAAGAATTAACTCAGTTTCGGCCGTTGAGACGTGATTAAACTCAAACCGAGCAACCACCACACATTCGTCTCTTATAGCAGCAATGCTTGGGTGAACACTAATGTCCACAGCAACATTAGGATCACTTATGTGTCCTTCACCTACATTTTGAATAAGAGAAAAATAGTTGTTGTCTCAGCCACTTTCTTCTGGTCAGTCACAAGTACGCCATTCTCCTTAATGTGACAGGTCCCTTCATTTTTACTTCGTTTACAATGGATAAAGGGCTTAATTGTATGCAAGAATTGCTCTGGATCACCTTTGGCACTGCCTCCTCTTGACCGGAGATGGCTTGAATTCCCTTCGTCTTAAGGATGAAGTAAGATTACGCTGTGGTCTGTATTTCTCCCAGTCCCCAGGATCCTTGGACTTGAAGTATAGTTTTCTTAGTTTGTTACGGTGACGAATGGAGCCAGGTAGTTCTGGTGTCATGAATGGCACATGTTGATGCTTAGTCATGGATCTCTTGCACGTCCAGGGCGTCGCGTAACATTTTCCCCATGTCCAACACACATCCACAGGGTCATCAAAAATATGTGCAAAGTGGAAGGGAACTGTAGCAATGTCAGCTGAAAACGATTCTGTGTCATAATGCTTGAAGTGGCGCTTTACAACTGTTCTAGGACTGATTTTTGGACATTGTAACCGCATAACAGTGTAAATAAGATTGTGATCGCTGAGGCCAAGATCAAACACTCGTGAAGTAAGAACAGAGCGTGGCTTGTTCGTAAGAATTACATCAATGAGCGAGCTGGATTCCACCACTTCCCTAGTCACTCCTGAAGTAAGAAAAGAATCGATAACTCTGTGTGTGCAAACGTCCAGGAGAGCAAAAAAGCTAGGTGCTTCTTATGGATTTAATGGATGTACGTCCATCAAATCCATAACAGCTTCACCCTCTTTAGCACCCTTGTCTGGCCGGGAGAGGTCTCACTTAGCATAATACTCTTGTAACGTTGAGTTGACCGAAGAAGAACACTATTAATTTCATGTTCCCATGTAGCTTTTAACAAACCAGGTGGTCTTAACATTCCGATAACAAGCACCGTTTTCGCTCTCTTGGATGTTTGCACACACAGGGTTATTGATTCAACTTCATGTCGCTCCAAGTCACATGTCCTCTAATCACAATCAACCCTCTTCTAACATAAATGAACATACCACCCCAAAACGGTCACGATCTTTGCAGTACAGGGGAAAGCCTTTGATGTAAAAGTGCGAGTCAGGAGATGAATGGTCCACCTTGCATTCGCTGATCACTATAACTAGAGACTTTTGAGAATAAGGGACTTTAGCTCAAAAAACTTGCAACAGCTATACTGTTGATGTTAATATGCCCTGTCTTTAGGTTCTTAAAACATTTCATCAGAATCATAGACAATTCCTCGTCGCTTAGCTGTACATCTTTAGACGATTCATCAGATGAAAAAGTCAAGACGTTAGAATCATCACGTGAGCTTTCCTCGAAAAATAGTAATGAGGCGAAGGCACATCGATTACAGGTCCACGAGACAGGCGAGGAAGCAGAGAAAACTCAAGAATCAGCCGTAGAACTTGAACATTTGACATGCGTCTTATCATGACACATCCAACATACAAAGCGCCTTTGATTCTTTTCAGCAACAGCTTTCTCACTAACTGGACATCAGGGGCACCCAACGAGAATATAGTTCAAAACCACTTAAACATAACATTGTTAAACGTATGTTAGTATATATCTAAACGGTAGATATAGGCATATTTTTATCCCCTAAAAATTTTTCATGTGTTCGGATTTCGTAGCTGAAAGTCTGGTGATCCGAAAATTATAGGGACCAAAACTTACCTTTTCGAAATTTTCAGCCAGAAAAAAGGCTCCCGAAAATTCTAGATGACCTTTTCATAGTAAAAATCGGTTAAAAATGGGCAATTCTACCATTTTTTAGATGTTCGAAAATCCTAGGATAGGCAGGCAAGGAAGAAATTTTACAACAAATGTTCCGAAAATTCTAGATCTGAAATCGTCTTCCGAACAGATATTTTCCGAAAATTGACGTTGGGTGTCCCTGTGGACATGTTGGAGCAGTTGACCTAATGCTTGGTTTCGTTTACTCACAGGCCCTGGATTTACATTAACATCCCCGCTGATGATTAACAGCTCGGGTTGAAAAATCGCATTCGAATTGGAGTAGTACATCACAGGCCTAGAAAAGCCCTTGTGACGAAACAGTAGAGTACTAATGCCACATCGACGACACGGTAATAATCCAAGATGGCGGCTGGCCAAGTTACAAATGCTTGTGGAATAATTGGCACCAGTCCAGTCAGTTAGCGTTCCCAACGTTTCAGATGGTACAAAATCATTTCTTGGTATAATAAGAAGACGTCTCCAATTCAGTATTACAAACATTGCACAAATAATACTACAGTGAAACCTCTATGAAGCGAACACCTCAGGGGCACCCAACATTTCACATTGGTGTACCTGTGGTGCAGACGGACGGGTGTACGTACAATACGTGTTGTTTACCATTGACCACAAATTCCCGGAAATTCCTGTTGGGATGTAAATGGTAAACGTTTTTCTGGTTCGTCCCACTGGAAAATTTCCGAGTCAAACGAAAATTCTGAAAAGGTAGTCCCGTTTTCCCGGTTGGGACGTTCCGAATGGAAATTTGTTTACCATTTACAAGTTTCTTGACTTTCGTACTAGTTTCAGGCCTCTTGGCTTTTGGCCAAGCGCAACCGCTTAAACAACAACAACAAATATGGCGTAAAATGGCGGGCTCACAGCAAATGGGGGATTGTACCAGTGTTCATGCTGATGTTATTCCTCTCCAATTCTGGAAATATTCCTAACACATAACTGTTCCTTGTATTTAATAAATGGTGAGCAGACTTAAAATCACTAATTTGTGTCCAAAATCAAATTGCCCGCAAGTTTTATGATATTTTTTATTCTCCCGCGAAAATTGCAAATTTTCTGCAACGTGTTTTCTTCCATTTTATACACAGCTGACTTATCAACCGGGCTGTCAGAAATAGCAAATCCTAGTCGATCAGTTTCTCCTGCGTGATCTGTTTCCTCGGACACTGACGGGTCGTCAAAATTGGACATTTGGAAGATTCAGACGTACGACCTCTTGGTCAGAAAACCAGAATCCAGTCTAGCGCTGCGCGACAATCCGGAAATTTTAGGCAAATAATAAGCGACTAGCCTGCGCGCAGACACTTTAATCCTTGTTTACTAGACTATATCCACACTATGCGCGATACGTGGGTCGGCTGCACCGCAGGCTAGTAAGCGACACGTACCGTTCTTACCGTTTCCTCTCTGCCACTGACAGCGTTTTGGGCTTCCCCATTCCCAAATCCCTAGCGTTTTGGGCATTCCCTTCTCATATTACTGCAGCGTTTTGGGCATCCCCCGGTACCCTCCCGGGATGCCCAAATCCCTAGTGTTTTGGTCATTCCCTCCAAATAAATTCTGGATTTAGCGCGAAAATCGAAAACGTTTTAGAGATGGATTCCGCTAAATATAGAAATCTTTTCCAGTATCTTAAAAAGAAGGTTTATCCGGAAGGCTTTTCAAAGCAAGACAAAACGACTCTGCGAAAATTTGCCAAAAAGTTCAAGTATGACTCAAAATTAGAGTCCTTGTTCTACGTGGCCAAGGAGAAGGATGGTACAGCGTTTCGACGACTTGTTATCACCTGAGGAAGAGAAAGCGAGGGTCTTCGAAGAGTGCCACTCTACTCCATTTTCTGGACACGTCGGCCGCGATAATACTATTAGGAAAATCAAAGAGTGGTTTTACTGGCCTGACTACTACAAGGAAACGATGGAAATGGTTAGTTACAAATATTATTTATCTGCCAATGCACCCTCTTGATCGTGGTTTTTAAAATGCCTGCGATGATAATCGAAAACATACGCTAAATTTCTTCTGTTTTCAGTGTTCTTTGAAAGGGTAAGGCATAATTGCATCTAATTTGGTAGGTTGTCAAAGGGCATTGTAATCCGGAGTCCTTCTTATAGCTCCCGTTTGTTATTATTTTATGTGAAGCCATAGATCAGAAGTTATATTTCTGAGAGGTCAAGATAACAGATTTTTAGTTAGTTGACCCAACTGTGCCCTTGAACATCCATTTATGTCACGCCAGCTGTCACGCCCGCTACATCAGAAATACTTTCTTGTGTGCGCCAAGCACAACATCTCCTTCTAGTGACCATCGTTGGAGCGTCCATTTATCATAACTACATTTTCAGAAGTCCTTTTGTTTGTTTGTTGTTTTCTTCTCCTTAGATAAAGCCTTGTGACCGGTGCAAGAGAAATGTACCGGAAGTGAAGGCCTGCGACGTTTGCACCCTGTTAGGGTTAAGTTGTTCCCCAGGTGTGGTACTTGGTTGGGATTGATTTAATAGAAGCCCCTACTACATCCCCCGGGGGGAGGGGTACTCGACAAAAATCGCTGATTTTCCTACCTTGTTTAAGACAGAATTCCGATTTTTGATACCCAGTTTAAGACATTCGTAGAACATAGGCGCAGGCTCTTTATTGTCTAAGAACAGGGTTATGGGCTCCTGTCTAAGAAAAGATACCCTGTGTAAGACAAAAATTGATAAAATCTATACCCTGTTTAAGACAAAAATCCCGAAAAACATACCCTGGCTGGCCGCACGTCCCCATTAAGCCCTTATAAGGGAGTACCCCCTTCCCCCCCCAGGGACTACATCTCAAAACGGCAACAGATTTTCCGTCCCGTAGGTGCAAGAGGCCTCTGTAATTGTGTGACAGCCTTTCGTGTGTCAAGTAGCGCTCGGGGGTTAAGTTGCACAGGCCTCAAATGTCATGTATACTATGAATTCAACACCGCAAAACGTAGTTTTATCAATGTTTGTCTTTTAATTGGCTGTTTGGAATCAGACGATCGCAGCTGCCGGCGATTGCGGCGGCATTGCTCGCTTGTAAACAGTTCTATTAAATAAAATTGAAGCTTTGCAAACAATGAAGTGTTGTACAGCGAAGCGATGTTATGGGGTTGTAAATTTCAGTTTCGTCATGTTTTTAGCCAACGTTTACTGCCTATGGGTTTTTTTCCTGCGCAATAAACCCGGCGAAAAGTGTCAGACGATATAATTCTAACATGCATCTACACTATTCAGCCATAAATTCGTGATTGACAATCCCGACACTTTACCCCAGTCTGAAATAATTTAGGCAAAGTCGAAGCGATCAGCGTTTTGGGCATCTCCCACCGGGGATGCTAAAAGCTCTAGGGATAGGGATGCCCAAAACGGGGTGATATATATTTACGTTTTAAACGTTATTTAAGTGTGACATCAATATTCTTTTTAAATCGGTATTTCAGTGAAACATATAAGATGTTTGGCTCTTAAATCGGTAATTAATTGCCGATTTATAAAAGGTTCTTACAGAAATTATTTAGCCATTAATTAACGGCTAAACATTTCCTCTATATATGTACTAAGTGAAAATTTAGAGTAGGTAAAATTTAGCCATTAATTAACGGCTAAACATTTCCTGTATAAATGAAAAGAAGGTTAAACTTAGCCATTAATTAACGGCTAAACATTTCCTATATATAAGAAGAAGGTTAAACTTAGCAATTATTTAACGGCTAAATATTCCTCCAGTATGTATATGTAGAGTAGGCAAAATTTAGCCATTTATTAACGGCTAAACATTTCCTGTATAAATGAAAAGAAGGTTAAACTTAGCCAATAATTAACGGCTAAACATTTCCTATATATAAGAAGAAGGTTAAACTTAGCCATTATTTAACGGCTAAATATTTCCTATATATGGAAATAAGGTTAAACTAAGCCATTAATTAACGGCTAAATATTCCTCCTATGTATATGTAGAGTAGGCAAAATTTAGCCATTAATTAACGGCTAAACATTTCCTGTATAAATGAAAAGAAGGTTAAACTTAGCCATTAATTAACGGCTAAATAATTCCAGTATAGGTTAGAGAAAAGGTCAAACTTAGCCGCTAATTAACGGCTAAATATTTCCTTTTTGTTTATAGAGGTTTAACTTAGTCGTTAATCAACGGCTAAATAATTCCAATATATACCTGAGGGAGGTCAAACTTAGCCATTATTTAACGGATAAATATTTTCAACATATATACATAAAGGAGGTCAAACTTAGCCATATTCTTTAGGAGGTTTTGAACTTAGCCATTTAATAATGGCTTATTATGTACGAACTATGGGGACCGCGCGGGGGAGAGGCTGGGGAGGTTCAGTAATTTGACATTTAATTGTCAACGGCCTCAAAGAGAGAACGACGAAATTTGCCCCTCCCTTCTCACCGGACCCCACATTAAAAGAACTGCTCCGCGGTTGGTTCTTTAAGCTGTTAATTGATTCGCCCAAAATGGGGTGTTTATGCTAGGACGTTATTCTCGCTCACAGCCGTTTTTTTGTCTCTTCATTCAAAATGGCTGTGAGGGAAGATCAAAGGATAAAGAACGTCAGAAGCCAATAAAACCAGGACAAGGCCGTAAGCAAACGACTTTTGTTGTGTGGTCTATTTTGTTTTTAGTAAGGGTGGTAGAGAAGGGGGCTTTTGCCAGGAAAGAAAAGTTTCAAGTTGGAAAGAAATGCGAAGCCGAATCGTGGAATGACATGGAAATTATCCTTCCTCCCCGGGAATTTGTGAGGCGTTTATTTGTTTGTTTTTTCAGAACCACTACAATTGCCCTACGGTAGAGGCTGGGGGCCGGGGATTTATACAAAGACCTCACGGTGGGGCTGAAATAAGTGTCCAAATGCCCGACACCGGGACAACTCTGAAATTGCATTTTATTGTCATCTGCGGTTGAAGCCTAAACTTCAGCAATGTTATCAAATTTTATTTGAAGGAGATGTCTACCTTAAATGTATACTACTCGCGAGAAATGTTGTGTTTAAAATGGGATGGATCCACTTTTTCATATTATGGAAGAAGGGGTGGCACAAGTAAAACTAGCAACTCAATACCCATTAAAATGTAATTTATTGAAACAGCGTGATCAATGATTAAGATTTAATCTTTTACATCCAATCATACTGATCATAAGTACTTTATTAAGTAGTTCTAATAATTAAACCTGGTTGATATTACTGGTACAAAACATGCTCGGGACAGCCATTATGGAACTCTCTGAGGAGACTGTTGGGGCTCCTGTTATTTTGATTTCGATTAGAAACCGCCAATCTTTCTGTAGTTGAAAGTTGGTCTTTCATAAAACTAATCTGATTATTTGACGAAACCGATTAATATATTCTATTAAACGTAAGTCAAGTTCCTGTCAAGTCAAACTAAATTTTCTTTTACTTGACCTGATCAATTTAATTAGTAAACTAGTTCGTTGCCATAAATTTATGCCGTGAATTTGGGCATGTTCGAGCCCAGTGCCCAAAACAGACAGGCGGTAGAATGGAGGCAGTACCGGAACAAAATCAACAACGAAGAAACAGAGAAGCAACAAAGAAAGGCACCCAATAGTGAACAATTTCTATTTCACTATGCCACATTAAAAGAAATCTTAGGGTAATTTCCATCTGTCAGAACGGACCGACCGGCCACACCATTTCAGTCATAAGGACGTAAGGACAATTTAACTTTCAGAAAATTATCCATCTCAAAATAGTGTACACGAAAGAGATGGTGTTTCAGCAAAAGCACTTAGAAAAAGCCTATTTCAATGTCGAAATGACTGGTCCGACCATGGTCCGGCCGGCCACGCAGTTCTGACTTTTTGAAAGAGGTTTAGTATAGTATCAAATGATGACTGATTACCCTTGTAAAAATTTTATCAGCGATCGCGGCGCGATTGTGCATATCGCGGCGCGATTTAGATTAATCGCGCCCGCGATAGCCGCGCGGTGATCGCGATCGGGGCGAGGTTATAGCGATCGCGGCGCGGTGATCGCGATCGCGACGCGGTGGTCGAGAGCGCGGCGCGAAGATTGTGATCGCGGGGCGATTTTGGTGATCGCGGCGCGATATCGGCGATCGCGATGCAATTGAAGTAAATCGCGCTTGCAATAGCGACGCGATGATCGCGATGGCGGCGTGGTGATCGCGATGGCGGCGAAGTTATAGCGATCTCAACGCGATGATCGTGATCGCGGGAAGATGATCGCGATCGCGGCGCAATTGCTGGCGACGAAATCGCGATCTCAGCCCGTTGATCGTGATCGCAGGAAGAAGATTACGATCGCGGCGCGATTCAGAAAAATATTATCCGCGATCTCAGGGTCAGGATTGCGATCCTGGCGATGAAATCGCGATCGCAGCGGTATTGTACTTATCGCGGCGTGGTGATCGCAATCCCGGGGAAGACAGAGCGATCGCGGCGAAGTTATAGCGATCTCAACGTAATGATCGTGATCGCGGGAAGATGATCGCGATCGCGGCGCAATTTTGAAAAATCGTATCTGCGATCCTAAGGTTAGGATTGCGATGCTGGCGATGAAATCGCGATCGCGGCGAAGTTATAACGATCTCAGCCCGTTGATCGTGATCGCAGGAAGAAGATTACGATCGCGGCGCGATTCAGAAAAATATTATCCGCGATCTCAGGGTCAGGATGGTGAAGATAGAGCGATCGTGGCGAAGTTATAGCGATCTCAGCGGAATGATAGTCATCGCAGGAAGATGATTGTGATCGCGAAGACAGACAGTTTTTATTTTAGCTCGATGATATTAAACGCTATGCAGCTTATGGGGTCGTGCGATTTTGAAAAATAGTATCCGCGATCGCAGTGACATTGTACTTATCGCAGCGTGGTGATCACGATCGCGGCGAGATTTAGTAAAGTCAAATCCGTGATTTATATGTCAGGACTACAATCCCTGTTTGGTAATCGCGATCGCAGGGGCATTGTACTTACTGCGAAGCGGTGATGGCGATCGCGGTGCGATTTAGTCAAGTTGTAATCGGCGATCTTCGAGTGCCATATTGCTCTCGATCATGGTGCAGTAATCGCGATCGCCAGGTGGTGATCACGATCAATCCAATTAAGTTCGCGTCCGCAATCTCAGTGCCATTATCACGAAGGAGATAACCGAGGATCGCAGTTATCGCCGCGATTTTTGTTATAAGTCAGTCGTTTTTTTTTATAACTGGCTATATTTAATTTGGTGTTATCAGGGACCTCCTTTCCCGTTTGTTATGCGCCGTAATTCGCGCTGCGTTTGCCTATAAAAATGATCACTTCAGAAAACAACAACCTATGGTGTGGTGTATTTACGGCTAAGTTGAAACCTCCATTTATACACGTGGAATATATTAAGCCATTCATTAAAGGAGAAATTGATTATCCCGTACCGTGGTTGTGTGTAAGTAACGACTAAGTTGTACCTCCTACGGCTCACTCAATTCCCACCCGCCCCGGGCCTTTCTGTCAGGGTTGTGGGGAATTTGTAAATAATGAAAAATAGCGGCTAAGATCGTTTTGCGAAGGGTGCTTCACTGTCAGGTTTTCATCACACAATAATGGCTCCTATCATTATGGCATTTGCAGGTGATTTCCTGGAAATGCAATTTTGGTGTTGTCCTGGAATGGGGCATTTAAACCCCTTTATTAAGCTCCATCGTGGGGTGTACGTTTGTATGCACCGCCTAGCCCCATCGCCATGAACCTCCTCTTGAACAATATATAATAACCTCCTCTCCACATATGTATTGGAAATATTTAGCCGTTAAAGTTTAGCTGTCTCTTTATATGTTTTGGAAGTATTTTGCCGTTATTTAACGGCTAAAAATGCATGATACATATATAGTGGGAAAAAGTTAGCCGTTAAATAACGGCTAAGTTTAGCTGTATTCTTATATGTACGGCAAATATTTCGCCGTTAATTAACGGCTAAAAATGCATGATATAGTAGGAAAAAGTTAGCCGTTAAATAACGGCTAAGTTTAGCTGTTTTCATTTATATATGCGAAATATTTAGCCATTAATTAATGGCTAAAAAGGTATGACACATATATAGTGGGAAATATTTAGCCGTTAATTAACGGGTAAAAATGCATATTACTTATATAGTAGGAAATAGTTAGCCGTTAAATAACGGCTAAGTTTAGCCGTGTTCTTATATGTACGGCTAATATTTCGCCGTAAATTAATTAACGGCTAAAAATGCATGATACCTATATAGTGGGAAATAGTTAGACGTTAAATAAAGGCTAAGCTTAGCTGTTTTCATATATACATGCGAAATATTTAGCCATTAATTAACGGCTAAAAAGGTATGACACTTATATAGTGGGAAATAGTTAGCCGTTAAATAACGGCTAAATATAGATGTATCCTTATATACGTCGGAAATATTTAGCCGTTAATTAACGGCTAAAAATGCATGATACTTATATACAAAAATATTTAGCCATTTTTTAACGGCTAAAAAGGTATGACACTTATATTAATATATAGTGGCAAACGGTTAGCCGTTAAATAACGGCTAAGTTTAGCTGTATTTATATATATATCGGAAATATTAAGCCGTTAATTAACGGCTAAAAATGCATGATACTTATATAATGGGAAATAGTTAGCCGTTAAATAACGGCTAAGTTTAGCTGTCTTAATATATATATGGGAATTATTTAGCCGTTAATTAATGGCTAAATTTCTCGTTTGTATAAATAGTTATGAAAATTTAGCCGATAATTAATGGCTAAATTTTTCGTTTGTATAAATAGCCGGAATGAAAATTTAACTTATAAATAGTTAATGAAAATTTAGCCGTTAATGGCTAAAGTTTTGATTAGTAAAGAGTAAAATTTAGCCGTTAATTAATGGCTAAATTTTTCTTTAATAATAATACAAAGTGACTTTATGGCTAAATTTTTCTTATAACTACAGTGTGAATTTATTGCAAATTTTGCCATTGTCTAAACACTGCCCAAAACGCGGGGCCATATCACTGTGACCGCCATATTGGAAAACGAGAAGGCCCTGGGAATGAGTCTGTGAATCCCAGAGGCCGCGATCCTTTTGGTCAGCGACAGCACCGTTGCGCGGAGAGATTATCCTGTCCTGTTTTCTTCGTGATTCTGTGGTAGCGTTCGTTGACATAGTGCAATTAATTGATAGCAATTTACGTGATGAGTCAGCGTGCGGGGCTCATGCCACTTCAATCCAACACAACTGCGGAATATGCTGAAATTGAAACTGTGGCAGGAGTGTGTCTCGTTGGAAAAAAAATTTCAGGTGAAATACAAGGGCTGTGTACTGGCACGGTAGTATCTTTCCGCGAAAGCATTGTCTTAGTTACCAGTGAAAGGATCATTCCAAGTAAAGAAGATTTGGCCAAGGTGAAGCAAAATTCGAATGAGTGGAATAAGGGCGAGTACGTTTTGTGCTTCAAGCCAAGAAAGCCGAAAAACGATCTGAAAATATACAAGCTCGACGATGTTACTAAGCCGAACGAAGGAGTAAATTTCGATCAAGGTTTGGTGATGATTCATTTGGATTCGAAGAAACTGAGTGATCGCTTTAAAAAATATCGCCCTTTCAAATCCAACGACAAAAAAATAACTGATCCCAAGCCTTTTAACGACTCAATTTGCCAAATTGTGAACGGAAATTCTAATCGTTTTGTAGTAGAATCCTATGAAATCATATACGATAATGGTAACGAAGTTCTTCGTGCAAGATCAACTCCCGGAGCATCAACTTTTGATACTCTGTCAAAACTTACTGCTGGCGGGGCTGTCAGTGATCGTCTTGCCTTTGGAGGTGGCATTTTCAAGAATGATGCTTTTGTTGGTGTTCTCATTTTCGATGATGATGATCTGGGTCAAATTGTGGCTGTGCAGTGTTGGTTGGGAAAGCTCGTTGGTAAGTATTGTGGAATGTTCTCGAGAGGGAGTAGCTGATACCCTGGAGATGGAGTTGGATATTTAGTTATTACCGGCAAGAAATTGACAAGTCTAATTTTCCCATTAATGGACTTTTTAGGTAAGGTACTTTATAGTGACTTTTTGACAGAATATTGAGTGGTGCATGGCCTGTGATTAAAAAGCCCTCCATGTGGCAATCATAGGGTGACGACAGACAACAAAAACATGGACCCCTTTTTTTGGAGTGGTTACCTGGGGCCTGTTTCGAAAGTCCAGCTAACTTTTCAGGCTCGAAAGGCTGTTTTATGTTTGCCATGTTTGCATTAAAGATCAAAGTTTAAGTAATTTTGAAATGATACAATGAAACTGTCAGCTAACGACGCAAAATTGGCCAGTTTGTGAGCTAGATAGGAACACTGCTACTATGCAACAGGTGTTGATTTTAACATTTGCCTTCGACTTTTCGGGCCTTTCAAGAAATGGGCCCCTGGACTACTTATATGGACTGGGTCTATGGACACTTTTTTGGTCTCCCCCCGCCCAAAAAAAAAAAAATTAATTAAAGAAGGAGAAATGAACAATAAACATGACGTAAAAAAACAGCATCTAACACCATCGAAAAAAACTGAGAAGTTAACACAAGAAATAATGGAATTACGTCAACAATGCACAATGTATGTCAATGTTGTACTTAATATTTTATCTCAGTTAATTTTTATTTTGCCATTGTTTTTGGGTATGATAATGTATGCTAATAAATTTGAAACAAAGGAAAAGAAAAGTTAAGTGAAATAAAAAAAAATTAACTGCAACATAAAATCAGGATTCAAGGTCAACAAAAAAGAGGATCAGAGCTGCGGTCAGTTGATTTTATTTGACTGAAGTGGAGTCAAAAAGTATGTTATAGTTCCAAATGAATATTAATTTACCATTATATATTTGTCTAACAATAATTAAAATTGTCCTGGTTAATTTTCAGTTGAAATTTGGAGGAGCCTAAAAATCAAAATATTAAATGCAAAGTATGAAAGCCCACATACATGTACTTGTTACTGAGTATAACCCTGCTCTTCCTGGCTGGTTTAAACGGCATTTTGTCGTTTTACATTTAGACATCGCATTAATTTTACTTAATATCGTAAGAAGTAAAGGCTGGCTGTGGGAAAAACAGTCCATTTTCATTCGAAGCACTATGAATTTCCAGATAATCAACCAATCTGCTCCAAATTGGGATCATTTAAACCATAGGTAACATATGCTCCTCTATCTTGTTCACCTTCTTGGGGTAACAAATGGAAAGAAGAGGCATGATCCACAATGAAAGTCAATTTAACTGTCAAGGGAAAAAAAGTAAACAGCAAAAAGAAATAATATCCACAAAGCAGTACGATAATACAATAATAATGATGATAATGTTAATAATAGTTATAATTCTAATTAATAACGATTTTGTGAAACATAGCCCTGTAAAAAGTAATGATATAAGCACCTGTGTGGTCTTTATCATAGTGTTTGCATGTGCACGGAAGATGATTTACTTTTGTGGCCATCCTCGCCTGTAAAAAGATGCCCATGCATATAACCAACATAGCTCCCTGTATCACACAGGTTACATTGAAACTGGTACACTACACACTGTTGATGAACCACTTGTGGTTTTGTCTCACATTTGTGGAGGTCCTGGCCAATTTTCTTACTCACCAATACGGGTTGGATTGTGGTATGGAGCTTAAATAAACTTAGGTCTTTCAACTGAGTCTTAACAATTGTTGCCGAATCCTGCTGGTCCTTAAAAGCCATAACTACCCGAGTCATGTCGCATCTTGTCATTTCCGCTGAGGCCTGCGATGGCTGCAACCCTTGAGCTGACAAAATTGTTAATGGTGGAGTTGATAATTAAGGCATTGAGGGTACTTCAAATGTGAAAACAGAGACTTCAAGTGCTCACACTCCTCTGAAAAATAAAACCATGTTGAGGACAAACGGTACGCGCGATCAAGCATAGTTGTTAATAAGCTTCATTTGTAACGGTTGTCAACATGATTATGGTAGCAGAGATACCAGTATTAGTAGGCTTCATGTACACCTTAGTCTCAATTTGGGGCACCCAGTTGAAAAATTAAAGCTGGGTTCTGAGGAAGCTAAGGGAAGCACCCCATCCTTTTCAGTCTACATTGTAAAACTGACAGCAGAATGGGGTGGTTAAGGTTGTTTAAGAAATCCATAGCTGTAGTTTGATCAGGCTCCACATTGAAATGTTGGAACATTATATTGTTACTTATTACATGTCATTAAGAATAAGACCATTAATAATAATAATAATAATGATAGCAGAAGCAGCAGTATAGTAGTATCTTAATTAATTTTTTTTCAGTCATAATCCTCGCTGAACGAGTTTGTAATCTTTACGTGTGCAGCGTATGTGGTTCATGTGAGGATCACAAGGGGAGTGATGATGTCATAACGTTCAGCACATAACGTTATTTACGCAAAAAAATACTTGTTGACTCCGATCATTACGAATTTGGGATGACATAAAACGTGCTAAAAAGATGTTGGCATTGTAACATTTGACCTGATTGGTTTACTTCCCACCAATCACATTATTGCTTATATTACAGTGGCATACCGGAGTTTTTTTGAGAAAACGTTTGATGTTAACAGTTAAATAGCTCAAACAACCCAAAATATTTGAAATTTTATTGTCGGAAAGTTGAGTTCACAAGAAATGGCAAACTTCAGCGATTATCCTTGAGATTTCAGACTCTAATCCTGAGTCCGAGAGATACTGTCCAAAATCTGGAGTCTCCCGGATAATTATCCGCGAGAGTTGACAGCCCTGTGTCCTCAACTGCTAACATTTGACCAACTGCGTATGCATTCAGGTTTTTCTATAGAAGTTGGAAACTTCTGTTTGTAGCACAATTTTTGAATAGTGTCTGCTTAGTGCTCCCCATAAAATGAATGCCACGTTATTTTGAGCAGTTTTACTTAAAAGTACAGTGACTGACCTTTTGGAAATAATTCAATTTTGGCCCGTTTGACTGTTCTCATACATGTGTCATCATAGAGAAAAGATAAATAAATAATGGTTCTATGTCATTTTCACTGATGTTTTTTTTTCTGTAGAGTGTTTTCGCAGTAAGACCAGCATAACTGATGGAACTGATGAGTCTGAAAGGGATGATATCTCCTCTGAAAGTAGGTGACGCATTCAACAACAATGTTAATTTGAAAAGCCTTAGAACTTCTGCAAAGTCTTGTCAATCAAAAGTAATGCAAGAGCTGAGTGGCCATGTATTTTCAAACCTATGTTGATCTTTGTTCCTATATTGGGTTATTCCAGAAAAAATCCACACCCCCACGACGGAAGGCACGGTTTTTTGACCCCCCCATCCACCTGGATTTCCAAAACTGCTTGAGCCTTCCTCCACTCAGGATTTCCAAGTTCAAAGACCCCCCCAGCCATCTGGATTTCCATAAAATTGTTAGACACTGTGATTTTACCACTCAATGTGGAAGAATCCTTTGGGCACTTAGATGATCTTTTTATTAAATAAGTCTCAATTTTCTGTGAATTCTGTGTTTGTTGTGAACGTTAAGATTCCATTTTCACATTTTCTCAACCGGCTTACACTTTTTGCAAATAAGCTCATATTTGAGTGAACTTCTCTTTTTTTCTAGAACAGGCAAAATATACAGCAATATGTACCACAATAAAGCTCAAAACTGTGTTCTCGAATAAATGGTTCTCTTCTTTGTCGATAAAAAATGACCCAGAGAGAAAGAAAAAGGACACTTTGCTCGATATTACATGACGCGCTGTACCACTTGCCACAAGACTTGCCTTTCAAAATGGCCGCCTAACAATCATGAACAACCACGCTTACAAAATCATAGGGAGCCCGCACAATCTGTTTGTTTAGCCGATTGTTATTTTATAGTAAATGTTCTGGATTTACCGTTTGCCTGACCTATAGCGATATGTCGCTAACTATGTATATAAATCAATGATAAATAAACGTTGAATTACCTTACCTGTGGTATAATTATAGTCGTCCTTTTACCTCAAAAGCAGTTTTTTGAGTGATTTTGAAGTAGTTTGAATTCGCCATTGACTGTTCCTTATAATAGAAGGACAAGGGTGGAATCCATGTTTTGAAAGGGCTCCAGTGCCGCATCGCTCCGCTCTCAAACCCCGTAGCGAAAAGGTAGAAAGATTCACGTTTCTCCTCGTACCTTTCAATCAAAAATCCATCCAAACAGCCCGGAGCTAGCCGTCGAAGAAAATTAAAATCCCACAGTATTCGAGCGGCAGGAATGCGTAGCAAGATTCATACGTGCCAGCCAGAAACCGTCCCACTGATTGCCTCTTTTTGATCGGATGTTGTTAAACAACAAACGCTTACCAAGTCTTCTTCATCAGTTATTATTTAACCATTTGGTTAACGACATCCAATTAAAAAAAAGGCAATCAGCGGGACGGTTTTTGGCTGGCACGTATGAATCTTGCTACGCATTCCTGCCGCTCGAATACTGTGGGATTTTAATTTTC